TTGAATCCTTGACTCCAGTCTGTGTGCTGTAGCTCCAGTGTTTGTCTGATTCGGTGGAGGGCGGAACAGGGTTTACCCAGATCAGGAAGTTGTTGCGCAAATGTAGCACAGGCTGCTTGCCTTCGATTTAAGCCTGTTTGGTGGTTATTCATAAAAGGTTTACTGCCAAGACAAAAGCTTTTAGGATATATTAGTGCAGAGATTCTGAAGTTTTGGCAACTAGGTGTCGCTTGGATAAACAAGAAATAGCAAAAAAACAAAAGTCAAAGTTTGTTATTATTAATATTATTGTATTTCAACTAATATCAATGATTGTTATAACTTATACTATTCTATCAAGAGTTGAAAGTAATTTAATGTAATAACTTTACCTATTGATTGTTTGAGTGATCTGGGAATAATGGCCAGAACGACTTGCAGGAACAAGTAGAGCCTTTATCATCTACAGCCTGCCTTTCCTCCTTTATTTGTTTGACAAAAGTAATTCACACTTGAACATATTGCTGTTTTTACTCTTTAACTGGAAAACCAAAATATAATTATTTGCTTGTGAACACTAACTTTGCCGTTCAGTGTTTCTTTGAACCTTTGATTAAGTGTACCTCTTTTGGAGACGAATGGGCCTCATAACTTTGATCAGGTATTAGATTTTCTCTGTGTTACTCTTTTTACAAAATGAAAACAAAGTAGGTCACTGCATGACTTCTTTAAGAAAAGGAACACAGATACTGTTTTCTTTAAAAGCAAAGTCCTAATATATATTCTTTACTGCTCTCTAGTAGTACCTGTTAGTCTTTAAACATTTCATTGTCTCTCTAATCTGAAATCACGATAAATAGCTCTTGTCCGCTCCTCTATCTATTTTCTGTTTCCTACCCCTCTGATGTTCTATCTTTTGTTGCCTCTTTGATCTGGTTTAACAGGGAACTAAGTACCTTGGTTCTCTATTTTCATATCTTCCCAGTTCCTGCTCTCCCATGGTGCCTCCAAGCCCTCCATGGGTCCTCTCCTTTTTTTTCTTCAAGTTCCCGAGCATTTCGCCCCTAACACTGCTTTTAATAAAACTGCCTGCAGCAGTTGTTCTTACCTTCTTTTATTAATGGGGAAGTTCTTATACAGAGGGTCCTGAAAGATAGCAAAAGAGATGTTGCAAAACAAGAAAATCTTATGTACCTGCATGTTAACAATGTTTCACAAAAGGCATAATACTTATATTCTATAACACTGTGCTCGGAAAAGCAGCAAAGATCTCACCATTTAAATAATGGGACTTAAATGATGAGATGCTTTATTTGCTTTGTTATCAATGTTGTTTTGTGATGTGTCACACAGCTAAAGCTCTGACTAATTTAATTTGTGGTCACGTACAAGTTCATTTGTCAAAACTGAAAAATGTCCTTCTTTAAAGGTCCCACATTATGCAAAATTCACATTCTTAAAGGTACACTATGCAACCGGTGTTGATTTTCCAGCGAGGCTCCCCCCAGAGGGCAAAAATAAAAACGCACTGTCGTAAATATGCACAGCTGTTCTCCTGGTTTCTC